ATTATCGTCGCCGACTCGATTCTTGAGTAAAATCTCACGCGTTCTCGCCCTTGTACGACAAGGTTATCTTGTTGCCGACAGGATTTATAATATCAAACAAGATTGATACTTGTCGACGATTGTTTAACGTCTGCAAGACAGAGCGTCATAATTTAATTCAGATTCACTGCACTTTCATTTGCATGATCCGCACGTGATAAAACGGCAGACTGATTTTTGTCTCCTTGTTTGCTCGCAGCCTATCGACGAACGAAACTCATGACAAGACTCTTGTTGGCGACAGATATCGCCAACCAAGACCACACCAATTAAGAAAGGAGGAAGAATAGGTTAAACTAAAAACAATGATTTGCTTAAGTTAAGTTTTCTACTTTATCGATAACAACACTCATTGCTTTGCCTGATACCACCGGACCTCGTCTATTCTCACATTAATAAAGAATATTAAAAACTGAATATATTTCAAAGTTAATTAGAACAACAAATTATTTTTACGATAAATTGTTCATTTATATGGAATATTAATAACGTTTTGTGTCTAGTTGTATATGTAATTTGTATACTCAAGAGATACTCTATTCATATCGGTATTTGTCAATTACAATATATTTGCCATTTAAATAGAATATTTTAATAAATTTTCTATCGGAACTTGGTTCAGAGAGTGCAGAAAAATAATGTCTACTTTTCGTGTAGGGTTTGCTATTTTGAGGTGTTTCAGACATTTACATGTAAAATAGAAAAATGGGGATTTTTGCAGCGTTCGATATCTTTCCTGAATACAGTATTCACATGTTCGATGTTCTTAATTTTTCGATATTAAATTACTCGCATTTACTACGTTGGAAAATTGAAACACCGATTTTTCACGACCTTCACCTTGATCCAATATAAAAATGGCAGCAACTTCAAATTACCCATTAAAGATCATAAAGTAGTTGAGTTATGATCTACTTCAAAAACTTTAGGCAGTCTGGAGTTGGAACATGAAATATAGCAACGCCGCTATCATAACTTTGCTGTCCTTCTAAGTTATAAAATCGTGACATTTTCACGGTATCGAACGAGAATTATTATGTATCGTATCATATAGATTGCAGACGTTTTATAGCTTATTAATGGATTATATGTATAATGATATAATATTGCCTGAATAGATTTTACATCACCGGGCGACTTCGATTAGAGCCCGGGTACACTCGAGTCCCAACCGAACTGAAATATTTTCTAGAGTTGAGACTCGTGGGACGTAATTTTTGACCCAGTTAGAAACTCGTATCCGACACTCAATATATGGAGGGTCAAACACGAGTTAACATGGTAGCACGGAATGTCTATATATGGTCAAAAGTCCCGACATATTGCCGTAATTCGACCAAATTCGATTGCGACCCTCACTCGGCATGCGCACTGAAGATAATTACGTAATTTTTCCATCAACTCCAGCTCGACCACAGAGGATCAATCTAAGTGTGACCAATGTATGACAGAATAACCTTGTATCTAAATTCACACAAATTAGCAGTAAAATTTGTCTACGTTTAAAAGGATATAGTTGCTTAATTGATTGTCTAACAGTTGATAGACTTAATAAATATCTTTACTTTAAGAGAGATTTTAGCGACACGAATAGGATGTGAAACCTAATGGATTACAATCATTTTATTTCTTTAAGAAGTTTCTACAAGATTGAAAGGTCGTAATCAATATCCCGTATCATTTTTCAGAGTTGAATAAGACAAGTTTAGTGTGTCTGCAATGAAATCAAACGTGACGAGTCAGATTTTCCGGGGCTAAACTAAATCTGGGGTCCAGATCGAAAGATAAGATGGATAGATAAAATCTTTGATGAAGTATACTTATGTTTTGATGATCAGAATATCCGATTATTGATGGTCGAGATCTCCGGTGTCAATGAAGCCACTCATCGACTGACTTTGTCTAATCGACATTTTGGAGAGTAAACATAGCTAATATCAACAATTTGGTTTATTTGTAATATGTTTTGATAATCAGAATGTCGATTTATTGGAGGTCGAGTTCTGTCGTGTGTCAAACCTCCAATCGACATTCTTAGAGAATCTACATTCCTTTCTGTTGCGTAATTAGGGGGTTGGCCATTGTGTCATGGCTCTCCACTCGGGCCAGTGAAAGGTCTTTAGCAGTGAAAAATAAGGCCTCTAAATGCTCAAAAATTCATTTCGGGCCAACTGAAATCCGTTGGTTTCTGGAGGATTTTGTTAGCCCCAAGACCAGGCCTAGAGGAGTTTCGACACTTCGGACCATGCCTCGGAGAGACACCTCTCACACATTTTCAGGATATGTCCCTGATTCTTTTTATCTTTAATCGTGGATATCATAAGTTTATGGTGACATGAATGTAGATCTTTGAAGTTTGAGACCGTCGTGTATTGATAGCTCGTTACCCCAGATGCATAATTCATATAATTCGACCTTCACTTTCCTAGCAAACTACTCTAGCAAATGATAATACTACTTTTAGTGTAGATAAACATTAGCTATGGATTTCATCAATGGGTTTTTCTTATTTTATCTCAGAGCTTTTAGTTTCTAATAAATATAATAACACATTTACATTAGAAATGTTTTTACTTTATGTCACCGATTTCAACCGCTCTGTTAGATTCGCTTTTGAATGGAAAATAGGGCATGAGTAACAGTCGTCGATTCGCCTCGGTCGTTGAAGCCATTTGCTCGGTGGCTCAACTACATGAGTAGGGGTTCGCGAACTTATCAGAGTTGAGGCCCTTCCGCCGGGAACTTTTGTACTCTTGCATTCTTTTTATTTGTTTCTGGGAGTCAAGGGCCCGTGGACTTGGTTCAACCAGTTCTTGTGGTAATTGACAGCCCTGTGCTGGCGGTTCCACGTATTATTAACAAATCTAAAAAATCTGATATTTATACGAGTTTGCCCAAAAATATTTTTCAGAATGCACCGAATCAATTTTTCTAAAACTTTTTGGAGAAAAGTCTATTACACCTTTACAGGATAGCCGAATGCGGCGCGATCACTGGTTGAGCCACTGCTCATTTTGCCATCACACAGTCCACGAAACAACGCTTTTAAATTTTGATCTCTCCCTGCGTGAAAATCTATTTAAACTCACACTAACAGTCCGTTGATGAGTCTGGGTTATTGTTCTCAATGGAGTACTTGATCTATCCTTGGCCTGTACACTAGGGAGAATGTAACACTTCCTTCCCGAAAATATTTAATCGTAAACAACGAGCTCATGTTTATAACAGGCGCTCAAAATTTAGAACTCTGGCAAGAGAAACAGATATTAAAATGAAAAGCTTATTTTTGTTTGACATACTTGTGCACATTTGGAGAAGATTTAAAACATTCACGACAGCAGTCCACATCATTTTAGGAAAATTTAGTAGTAATTCAATCGATTTAAATTTTGCTTTGATTGTATTTATTAGCAAATAATGCATTGGATCGTACCTAATGCGCATAATATCTTTGTTCATTATCGTAAAAAAAGGTCAGCTATTAAAAACCCTCTGTGCTCTTAATCGTATAATTGATATCTTTGCCTGAATAATGTATATATTGAATTTGAAATAGTAACTAAAATTATTCAATCTTTTATCTCTTTCCAGATGACAGGTTACAACTCAGTACGTTTTAACTACGTAACAAAGGTCAGTCACCTATAATCGTGTGAAAAACATCAAGCTATCAAATTCCGACTGATTTACCATTGGAGTGATAATTACATTGGGGAAGAAAGTTAGGCCTACGGGAATGTACGTATGAGCTAGTCTAAATGGTTCTTGTTAATATATAACGTAACGCAATATTACACTCTATTGGATATACCTCATAACTAATTACCCAAGTGTCCGAGTAATGGTACCTTGTGCTGATCATCCACCGATAACAGTTTGCACTTAAATAACCAATGTGTACCAGTTTGTAAAAGGAAATAAGGAAATTCGTCGTCATATAATTATACTCGATTACCTGCATTTCTTTATAGCTTAATCCGTTCGGCCAATGTAGCCTATTTGCGAGTACTTGGTCATTTTGGAGGTTTTTAGAATTTGTGTGATCCAGTGAGTAAAATTGGAGTGATGCACCTGCCTTTCGTTTGATTACTTCGGAACCTATTGTGATATAGAAAAGTAGAAAATTCCATGAAAGTTAATCGTTTCAAATATAATATACCACCAAATGTGAAATAGTTTTGAGATATTTTACCCGTAGTGCCTAAATTTTATTTGGTCGTTTTCGAAGTGTAACATTAAGTTATTGAGTGCTAAAGCACAGTCATTCATCTTTGAATTTCGAAACTTTCGTGAAGACATTTGTTTGGAATCCATGTTATATATCTTGGTTTAATATTGAATATATATTCCGAGTTATTATTCAAAATATTCAGTCTATATACGTTGGACGCATCCTGATCATCATTTCGCAACATCCTGATAGTAACAGGTGTTTAGGAGTTCCATGGAATTAAAGATGTGAGAATTGGAATAATTTTTAATGTCAATTTTGATGTAAGTCGAACATTTTCGAGTCATTTTCTTCTTATGTGTGATCAATACACTTTTCAAGCAGTTACTGCGAATGCGAAATCACATGACCAACACGATAACCAAACGTTCGTCATATTTTTGGATGTGTTTTAAAACTTCAGTTGTCGGATTGTATTCTTTTTAACAATCGTGGATTTGGTTTAGCTGGTTATACCTTGGAATCCAAGTTGTATCTTGTTCTTTTGTGGGATAACAACATCGCTTAAATGCTTGCCTACTTTGGAATGTTTTCTCTGTATTCAATAATCGTGGTGCCTTTCATCATGGCTGTGGTGGGTTCGATCCTACTCAGTCTTGTCATGTACATAAATGACCTTTTCAGAGGCAAAAGTTTCCTTCCCAAATTACATTTTAGGCAATCCACCTTAACAAGACATATCTTAGAAAAGTGCAATTTAAGAGACAGACCTTTTGCACCTCCGTTCTTTATGCGAAACTGTCACGTTCAGACAATTCTTTCCGCCATCTTGCCAAGACCGGACGTAAATTTCGACAGAGAGTATCTTCAAATGCGGGATAAAGGCATAGTAGCGTTAGATTGGGTCATGAGCGCCCAACCTAAAATCAAGAAAAGGAGCACAATTCTGTTGATTATTCCCAGTATAACAGCCGATGCCTTGAGTGCCGGGGCACTATGCCATAGTGCTAATCAAAGGGGATTTAAGACGGTAGTGTTCAACCGACGCGGTCACGGAGGCAGCGTTCTGACCACACCTAAACTTCAGAGTCCCGGTGATCCATCCGATCTAAGACAGGTTGTGAAATACATCAAATTAAAATATCCTAAATCCAAAATAGCAGCAGTCGCTTACGGGACAGGTTGTGGACTTCTCATATCGTATCTTGGAGAGTTTGGTTCGTCATCATTGGTAGCTGTTGGTGTATGCATATCTCCGTGCTACGACGTTTCGGAACGTTTTTCTCATGCTATGTCTAGTATTTATGACTATATTTTCTTATTTCGATTAAAAGCAATATTATGTAATCATTCAAAGGCCTTGTCAGAAGTTATTGACATGAACAAAGCAATGCAATCGGCTACATTTCAAGAATATGACGCATCCGTATATTGTAAACTTTACGGTTACGACAATATGGACGAATTTTGGGATCGGAATAATCCCATTCGTGACGTTGACGATATCAGTGTTCCTGTGTTATGTATAAATAGTTTGGATGACCCTTTTAATGCCGAAAGCGACATTCCATATGACCTTTTCAAATATTATCCTAATTTCTTATTGGTTGCTACCGATCGTGGTGGACATTGTGGATTTTTGGAAGGAATCCCGCAAAAGTATTGGGCTGATCACTTATGCTTGGACTATATCGATGCTGTTTTAGAATTTACTATCAAAGGTTACACTCATAACAATCGGGCCATTGTAAGATCCACTATATGATTTACCGTATAGATATAAATGGATACGCATTAATATTTTAAGAATGTGACGCCTTTGGCCAAATGTTTTTATGTATCTCGCCTAAAAGCAAAGGATATTTCCAAAACTCGCCAGCTTTTATGGTAATGGCTAAAAAAGTGTCGAGGAGTCATATAGCCGTTTTCTTCAATTTTACTCTTATTCAAGCATACATCCGTTAGCGCTCCTATACCAACCGCTTGATATAGCTGTTTATCATTTAATCTACGACAATGGTCTAATCAATTTCAATAAAGACGATGTTGAAACAGTGTTGAATGAATAAGATAATCGAAAGGGTACGATAACGAAAACATGTTGAACGTTACTGCAATGATATCTGTTCTCGAAGTTAAGTAGATACAACACTTTAGGTATCTTTCATTGCATAAAGTCAAGCTACACAAAGTGCCAAGGGATAGAATTGGGCAAGATTAGCATTGATCAAATTAAATCAGTGGCGCTACCTATCCACTATCCAGATTATATTCTGGTATAAAACCAGTATTTTAGGTGTAATGGTGTAATATTTTGAGCATCAATTTCTACCTAATTTATCTATTGTGTTTTAATTATTGCTCAACTCTTCCTACGGGGTGCGAGTCTGCGACATCTATCCCTTGATGTAACAAGTCGGTATTGAAAACCTCCTTATTTCCCTTGCGTTCAATTTTCAAAATGTTTCGCAGCGATTTAGGTTTTTTTTTCTTCTTCTGAACGAAACGTAGCATGTCAATAGGTTATACTGTTATAGATTGCAGGACAAAACGCTTTTTCGAAAACTGCTTTACGAAACTGGAAAACTGGACGAAGGGAAGAAGGTTTTAAGAATTGCGACCTTTGAAGAATCACATATGAAATCAAATTTGTTGATTCAATAAATTTGAATTGGTCGGAAGCTCTTCTTCCGGTAAGATAAGTACTGGCTTGTTACACCACGAACGCATTGTCACAATACTGCCCTCTCTATTGCAAGTTGAATTGTCCATATCAAAATTGTATCATAATGTAACTTCTCAAATTCTTCTCAGGTCCTTTTCATCATCATTATCACGTTTGTCTTTCTCATAGTTGTTATTTAATTGTGATTTATTTCCTTTTTTTGTGTTTTCTTGAGAATATTGAGATCTCATCATTTCATGTTTATGTCTACGTAATTAAACACCTGTCGTGCAATCGTTACCAACTAATGGTGCGAATAGACGAGTTACGAGATATCCAGGCAATATAAGGAAATACAAGAAGTAAATTTAAGAGAGCACATGGAGGACGTCTCATTGGGTGGTACCAGTGTTTCAACTACCATAGGAACTGATTGAACTAAGTACACGCCCCCCACCACAAAAAAAAAAAAAACACCAGGAAATGCAGAAGTGCATTTGTTACAACATTATTTCCTGCGGAGGGGCCCCGGTCACACTTAAGTTCATGGACCTCCACTCATTTAGTTGAGCCACTGTCTTCTACTTAATACCCTTTCGATAATGTCACACAGTGCATTGCGTTGAATCTGCAATTACACGAGATTTACCACTTATCACCAAGGTGTTATAAACAGAATAAGAGATTGGATTGCAAGTCTACATTTTATAACGATCTCTTCAATTATAAGACCGCTTAAAGGAAATATCAAGTCCCTTTTGTTTAGCGCAAATAAACACTAGCATATTTTAAGAAACAACAGTTTTTATGGATATAGACTTCAATTTTTGAGCACAACGTTTCATTACACATACAGGTAACTTTATCATGTGATGTTGTTGTTTCTTAATGTGCTGTGATACTTCTAAATGTCTTACAAGGATTACTAGCATGTTTTTTATAATCGGCAAGAGCTCAACTCACACTGTCGACATGTGTTTTGGATATATAATCTTCATCAGATTGAAAATTGGATTCGACATTTCCTTCAAGTGATAATTTCTTCTTTACAAGTTGTTATTTATGAATGTGATTATACTTTCGACATTAAACTGTGATTTTAGAAATTTGTTTTTTCTACATGGGGTGGCCGACATAAAAAAACACAGAGACAAGAGAGTCAGCCAGTCTCATTATGTTGCAGTGGGGTTTCTATGGAGGGGGCCTAGGGGGTGTTGAGGAAGGGGGTTGGGGGCGGGGAACACATCAACAGCATTTAAGAACCTAATGATTTGAAAATGTGGAGGGGAAGGGGCTACTTATATATTGATATATTGATATATTGTATGCCGATCTCCCAAACACTTACAGACTATAAGGCTAGAGGGAGTATAGGATGCGATCTAGACCTTAGTCTCCCAACACACCTCTACAATTTTAGGGCTTTGCAATATTCTCTATGTCATGCAAAGTGAATCTAACACGATCGGTTAGATAAAGTGCAGCGGGCCATGTCTACCAGTATACTCTTGCTTTATCTCTTATATGTTTATCGATTCGTCCTATACATTCATTCGACTGATATAATGAGGAAAGGTGATACAAACCGTCACATGCTGACCGACATTAGATCTCATGACGTGATGAATCACTTCAGATGACGTCAAATCAAGTAAAATTCAAACCAACAGAAATAATTATGAAATTCGGATGCCTGTTACTTGTCGATTTCATATAAGAGGTGGCATGAAGACCCTTAAAAACAGTCAATTTGTCATTCTTAGCATTGGAATAGTTTCTTATGTTTCAAAAAATATAAATCATGGCATGAAACATTACTAATTCTGACACATGTTAGATTATTAATACAGTTTGCAGCAAAATAATAACGGGCATTGTCAACCGTCATTACATCAAGGCGGATAACGTGATTGTTATATGCGTTATTCGTTACCTTGATAGAAACAACATGGAAAATGAAAAACTCCAGACTGAGTTTAAGCCGAAGTCGCCACCTGTTGGTTGTATGAACACCACAATATAAACATTGAATGAACAAAAAATACATGATAATACACTTAAGAGGTTTTCTATACTTCTATGTGTATCGTGGACACTGATTTTTTTTTTAGAAAAACCTCTTTAAAATCCCTTTAACACTTCTACTCTAACCTCAAAAGGGTCATGTGGAACTAACATGTAAATTTCTATATTCAAACGCTTATATATGTAAGTAAAGACTTTATATAGAGAAAGTTAATTGTATTTAATGCAACGAAAAGACACAGAAGAACGTTCAAGGGACAGATGCGATATTTTTTTTTTTTTGGGGGGGGGGGGTATTTTAATCTTGAGTATATGTAAAATAGTCTTTAAAAATGTTAGCAAATCGCATAATTAATTCAAAATTACTTCAAACTGGGAATTTTTCTTCTCTTTGTAATATATCCCAGAGTATCTTAAAATGGCGAGTCGTTATTTTCATATTCAAACCCGGTTAATTCTGGACACACATAGTTGTGAAGGTTTCAATGTCGACGGTGTCCTGTGAACACTATTCCCAATTTTTGAGACTAAAGTATGATTGGGCAAATAAAATGGCGCATCTGTCCCTTTAAATGTCGCATTTGTGGCTTTAGTTTATTTGCCACAAAAGCAATTACCAGTGTGTGTAGAGTTTTATCAGAAGAGATACTTTTTTCCCTCTTAATATGGCATTTGGCGTAGGTCTGAAAGCTTATGCCAATAGGAACAATGGCAGCAGAAAACGGAGATTCATTTAATCGGTATTACTGATTCATTCTGAACAGAAAACAGATTAATAAAAATGGTATTAGACTTAGATATCACTGTCCTGAAGAGATAGAAACTAGTATTTAGCTCAGGTTTCAATGCTAGAACTCGTGGAAACAATGACAGCAGAAAGGGGAGATACATTATAACCGTATAGCTAGCTCGCTGTTACCAAATACATGTTACATATTAAATTAAATTAGCAATGATATCACACTTAAGGTTGATGTCTTTCGGGAAGCAACTCGTATTTGGTTTAGGTCTCAAAGCAAGAGTTCATGGGAACAATGGTAGAAAAGCGGTGATGCATTACAAATGTCGAACTGAATTTTAAATAAATCAAAAACTGAATCTCGAGTAAACGGACTAGAAATTTCTTATTTATTATTCGTGAATGACCAATTCCGAACAATCACAAAGAAACACATTGCTGAAATAGCACACTTTCTGTTTGATCGATGATGGTACACCATGACATAAAATGTCTGAAAACCAGCAACAAGAATAATTTGGCAAGGAATAATCGATAATTTAAAGGAAAATTATCCCTTTTTGCCCCAAGAGTGTTAATTAAGTGACAGAATATGATACAAATTAAGCTGTGTGGTCCTGCAGTCATAAAACAGCTAGATTTATATCATTTCAATGTCTAAATGCTAGGATAATGACATTTTTTAACGACAAAAACTGATTTAACCTTAATAATGGAACCATAAAATACAAATCCCAAACCAATTAAATGAAATCTATGAGGCTATACACTGTTAATTTAATTATTTTGAATGTGAAACATTCGTAAATATCCGCTGTTAATTTGATATAATGGCTAAATGAAACAGTCTGGCTATTGTTGAAGAATAACGACTTATTACGCTCTATTCTTTCCAGGGCTTTATCACCATTCACACGGGCAGTTATTTGCGATAATAACAGTATATTTGCACCGTAGAGTTAGATTTAATAATAGTATAATCGTGCATTCCTCCAAAGAGAACCGGGCCTACCTACCGATACAACCAGATCAATGTATGCCCTATTAACGGTTTCGTTCAAAGATGAGTTTTTAGGTAATTTAAGGCGAACCTTTGTCCTTTCTTTCTTAATTTTTGTTTTCGTGAGTGTAGTAAAACATTTTCAGAGCAATAGTATTAGTATAAAATTTTGCCTTTGTCTGATTTTTAATCTGTAAAGTTCGGCGATAGATTTGAATTGGGCTTGGTAAACTATTAAAGAAAGGTGTTTACAATTATATTGCCTTTCGCAGTCAACAAAAAACATGTGGATATGGTCGTTAATGCAGTAGAAAAATGAAATGCAAAGAACAACTT